AAAAAAAAAAAGCCAGTGTGGTGGCTAACGCCTATAATCCAAGCACTCTGGGGGTCAAGGCGGGCGGATCACCTGAGGTCGGGAGTTCAAGACCAGCCTGACCAACATGATGAAACCCCGTCTTTAAAAAAGAAAAAGAAAGAAAAAGACAAGGCCCATAGTGTGGCTGGCTGGCCTGGATTTCTTTGTTTTGTTTTGTTTTTCAATATACTAGAATCAGCCAGAATGCACGTGGTTCTGGGCTTCTAGCGACTTCTGGGAAGGCTGGAGAAAGGTAATATATGTATTTAATATCCTTGTGTTCTGTGTTAAGTGAACATACATAGAACAGCAGAGATGATTAAAAACATTTAAAAAGTCCAGGTGTGGTGGCTCATGCCTGTAATCCCAGCACTTTGGGAGGTCATGGTGGGCAGATCATGAGGCCAGGAGATGGAGACCAGTCTGGCCAATATACTGAAACCCCATCTCTACCAAAAATGCAAAAATTAGCCAGGCGTGGTGGCACACGCCTGTAGTCCCAGCTACTCAGGAGGCTGAGGGAGGAGAATTGCTTGAACCCAGGAGGCAGAGGTTGCAGAGAGCCAAGGTCGTGCCACTGCACTCCAGCCTGAGTAACAGAGCGAGACTCCATCTCAAACAAACAAATAAATAAATAAAATTGGACCCAATTCTGAATGCAAGAAGACAACATTGAAAAAACAATTAAAGCTGGGTTCTGTGGCTCATGCTTATAATCCCAGCACTTTGGGAGGCTAAGGCAGGCAGATTATGAGTTCAGGAGATCGAGACCATCCTGACTAACACAGTGAAACCCTGTCTCTACTAAAAATACAGAAAATTAGCTGGGTGTGGTGTCATGTGCCTGTAGTCCCATGTACTTGGGAGGTTGAGGCAGAAGAATCGCTTGAACCCAGGAGGCAGATGTTGCAGTGAGCCAAGATGGCACCACTGCACTCCAGCCTGGGTGACAGAAGAAGTCTCCATCTAAAAAAAAAAAACCACAAAAAATCACTTTTGCTTGGAAAAGTCACACTGTTGGGATGGTAGTATACAGTTAGTAATACAGGTAAGGAGAACCCTTGGCCTGGAACTAAAGACTCAGGAATTTATGCCACAGACCTAACTCGGTAGAGGAGAGGAAAAAAAAAAAATGCACAAAGATACTCATGGCAATATGTCTTTTTTTTTTTTTTTTTTTTTTTTTTTGAGACAGAGTCTCATTTTGTAACCCAGGCTAAAGTGCAATGGTGCAATCTCAGCTCATTGCAACCTCTGCTTCCTGGGTTCAAGCAATTCTCCTGTCTCAGTCTCCTGAGTAGCTGGATTACTTTTTGTATTTTTAATAGAGATGGGGTTTTGCCATGTTGGCCGGGCTGTTCTTGAACTCCTGACCTCAAGTGATCCGCCAGCCTCTGCCTCCCAAACTGCTGGAATTACAGGTGTGAGCCACCACTCCCGACCTCATGGCAATATTTTAAATACTTAGAAAAAATGCACATATAATTAGCCAAAATGTACAGCTTTTTTTTTTTTTTTTGAGACGGAGTCTTATTCTGTTGCCCAGGCTGGAGTGTAGTGGCATGATCATGGCTCACTGCAGCCTCAATCTCTCAGATTCAAGCTATCCTCCCACCTCAGCCTCCCAAGTAGCTGGGACTATGGGAGGTGCCACCATGCTTGATTAATTTTTAAAATTTTCTGTAGAGATAGGGTCTCACTTTTTTGTCCAGGCTGGTCTCTAACTCCTGGGCTCAAGTGATCCTCCTGAGTAGGACTCCCAAATTACCATATCCAATTTGGATAACCAAGTTGGATAATGATGATTATCCTAAACCATTGTTTAATAATGATTATACATGATGATGATTTTTTTTTTTTGAGATGGAGTTTCGCTCTTGTTACCCAGGCTAGGGTGCAATGGCGCGATCTCGGCTCACCGCAACCTCCGCCTCCTGGGTTCAGGCAATTCTCCTGCCTCAGCCTCGTGAGTAGCTGGGATTACAGGCACGCGCCACCATGCCCAGCTAATTTTTTGTATTTTTAGTGGAGACAGGGTTTCACTATGTTGGCCAGGCTGGTCTGGAACTCCTGATCTTGTGATCTACCTGCCCCGGCCTCCCAAAGTGCTGAGATTACAGGCGTGAGTCACCGCCTCTGGACTATACATGTTGATTTTTAAACTTTTATTTATTTATTTATTTATTTATTTAGAGACAGAGTCTTACTCTGTCACCCAGGTTGGAGTGCAGTGGTGCAATCTCACCTCACCTCTGCCTCCTGGGTTCATGCGATTCCTGCCTCATTCAGCCTCCGGAGTAGCTGGGATTAAAGGCATGTGCCCTCAGTACCAGCTAATTTTTATATTTTTGGTAGAGATCTTGTTGGCCAGGCCAGTCTCCACCTACTGACCTCAGTGATTCTCTTTCCTTGGCCTCCCAAAGTGCTGGGATTACATGCGTGAGCCACCGCGCCCGGCGCAACTCTCTCTTGAGAACACCAGCACTCCATTTTCACAAGTACGCAGTTTTCACTTTACAGTAAATCTCCATGCTTTCGCTTTAATTTTATTTCTTTATTTTTAATTCTCATTCTATTACAGGCGTGTATTACAGGCATAGCGCCCGGTCACAGAGCCTGACCCGTACTTTCACTTTTAAAATTCTTTAAAATAATTTTTGTAAACCTTTTTTTTTTTTTTTTGGGACAGTCTCACTCTCTCGCCCAGGCTGTAGTGCAGTGGCGCCATCTCGGCTCACTGCAACCTCCGCCTCCTGGGTTCCAGCAATTCTTTGCCTCAACCTACCGAGTAGCTGGGACTACAGGTACCCGCCACCACGCCTGGCTAATTTTTTGCATTTTTAGTAAAGACGGTTTCACCATCTTGGTCAGGCTGGTCTGGAACTCCTGATCTCGTGATCTACCCGCCTCGGCCTCCCAAAGTGCTGGGATTACAGGCGTGAACCACTGCGCCCGGCCTAAAACAAAAATTCTTCAAAAATTTTTCATATAAAGGGGATATTTTTTAATTTTTAAATCTTACTTTTACAGACTTTGGGGGTACATGTGCAGTTTTACCTCCGGGAAATACTACGTAGTGTTGAAAGTCTAGGCTTTTTGTTGTAGCCAACTTTAGAATAATGTACATCTTTGTCTCATCCCCCTCGTATCCTTTGACGGAGAAGGCTATTTCTGCTATCCCGAAAAATGTCATCGTAAGCCTGTTTAGGGAAAACAGCGGCTGGCTTGACCCCGACGTGATTTGAACACGCAACCTTCTGATCTGGAGTCAGACGCGCTACCGTTGCGCCACGAGGCCTGCCCGATTACCCGCTTTGAGGGGTCTCTTGAACAGATCCACTGTCAGCAATAAGCGGGGGAGTTTTCCCTTGAGGCCCCACCTTTAAGATTTGTTAGTGCTTTTCTCCGAGGCACCAGCGGGCGGGATGTGGGCGCACGTATACAGGAATTAAATTCATCCTCTGGGTAAATAATGAAGAGAAGCAAATTGTATTTATGCGCATTTAACTTAAGGTCCAATTCCTTAACTTGAAACACATTGAGTTCATTGAGCCCACTCTGCAGATGATAAGTGAATTTTATGTGAGTAGGACTGTTTTTTCCTGGAGATGATAAATCATCATGATGTTGCTGCAGTTCTCCCCCAACCCCCAGACAGATCTTAGACCTAATCCTAGCTCTGCCGGTGACTCAGCTTCTCTGGACCTTGGTTTACTCGTCTGCAGGCTGGGCATAACCCTACAGGCTCATGTGGGGTGGATGGCCAGCACTAGCGGTGAAGGTCACTACACGTGCGCGCTGGGCAGAGGACAGCAGCCTTTACTTTTACTTCCATCTCGCTGATGCTGGTTCCCTGGCTCGACACGGGTCCAACCTGACTCATCCCAACCAAGCTCAGGTATGAAACTTAGGAAAAAAAAATACCATCCAAGCGTTGGTGGTATAGTGGTGAGCATAGCTGCCTTCCAAGCAGTTGACCCGGGTTCGATTCCCGGCCAACGCAGGCGTGTTTTTTTCCTCTTCCTTCTTGTGTTCTCTGGGCCCCTGCATCGTTGAAGGTTTTTGTGAGATCTTCCTGAGGAACCTTCCTCTCCGAAAGGACCCGCTCTCGGCTTCACCCGCGACCCCGGCCAGACCACCGCGTTCCTGGCGGATACGCCCTGCAAGCCCTTCCAGGCGAGAGCAAGGGTCGGAATCTCGGCCCGGAGTTGCCTACTATGCCTGGACCACGGTGGGAACCTACAAAAAGCAGGGAGACGAAAGGAAAGAAAAACCCAGGCTCTGCACCCCGGACTGCTGAGGGCCAAAGCTGCTCGCCTAGGTTCAAGCGGAGACTGGAAATGAACACTTCCGTCAAGGAGGGAGCAAGCTATGAGGACAACTCTGAGCGCGGATTACGCTGGCTGTGTGTTTTCTGCTGTTTCCCATCTGTGTTTTCTAAGCTATCGTCAGCGAACACGTCTAATGAACATACTGAGCGGAGGAAATACTGGCCACTTTAGGCACACGTTTGAAATTCAAATTGCTTGAAGTAAAGTGGAAATTTTGAATGCGAGCTCGAGAGGCAGGGCAAACTTTGCCCCTCTTCTCCTTTCCCTGTTTAATACCTCCATCCCAGGAACCAGGACGGATTTAATAGATTTAACGCAAAAAGGTTGAAGTTTCAAAAGCTACTAAGACTCTCCCCGTCGGGGAATCGAACCCCGGTCTCCCGCGTGACAGGCGGGGATACTCACCACTATACTAACGAGGAATAAGCCATACAGCGATATTGCCAAATCCTTGATCTGGGACTCTACACTGGGCATGCTGACAGTAGACTTCCTAGGGGTTCTTTTTTCCCACCACGGAGAAATTGTATGTGTATTTCACGCACCAATCGTCAGATGGAGTGACCGAAAGAGACAGAATGCCTCCGGGGCTCCAGAGAACCAAGTTCTGACAGTTCCTGGGCTCTCTCCAACACACCCGAATAGATTCGACCTGGGTCATTCTACCACCTGTCATCCACAACTATAGGTTGATGGGTGTCAATCAAACCGAAACCAGGTTGTGGTGGCCGAGTCGAGGCACCAAGCAAGAAGTCAGGAAACAGAAAGCGTCCTGCACAAGTCTGGGCGTGCCTCCTCTCTTCCTCACATGCCAAGCGAGTCTGGGGACCAAGATTCTTTTTGCTACCCCGGTGCCACAAAAGATCTTACTGCACACTAATGACTTCCAGTTAAGCCGTCCACAGCGCTGGTTAGGTAACACACACCCCGAAGACACTCCCGTTTCAGCAAAACGCAAAGAAGGGCTCGTCCGGGATTTGAACCCGGGACCTCTCGCACCCGAAGCGAGAATCATACCCCTAGACCAACGAGCCGACGTATAAGTCCCGCCGCGGACAGCCTTAGAGGTCGTCCCAGGCTTGGTGTAGTCCCGGGTCCATTACGCGTGGTGGAACGATCCTGGCACGCGCTCAGGAACCAGCCGCCCCCAAGCCGAGTACTCGTAAGCCATGGGTCTGGGAATGTCTTGGCTCCGGGACTTGAGCTACGACTCCTCCCAGGAAATAGCGTTGAGGAAGTGGGAGGGAGTGGCCTCGGCCTCGCCCCCGTGCCGCCTTGCAGGGCTCCTTTTAACACTCGGGTTCCTGCTATGTCAGTTCCTATGGTCACTGACTCGGTGCCATTCTGTAACCTGGGATCTTGACACTTCCACCTCTGCCTGTGGTCCTGGGACCTAGCCCGTCGTTGCAGAGCTTTGTAGAGAAGCCGTGGAGTTGCTTGCTTTCTGGACGGGCCGGAGACAGTTAATGAGCCCTGAAATCACTAAGGGGAACAGCAGTTCCTGTGTCTTGTCTATTCTCCTGGGCAGAAGAGCAGGGCAAATCCCGGGCCAAACCCGTCGATAGCCCATGGGCTCCCCAGACCGCGTGGCAGTACCCGGACAAGGGACAGAGGGAATGATTTCTGGGGCACAGAAGACCCACGGAGGGCGTTGTTGAGCTGAGTCACTGCTGGGGGACAGGGTTTCCAACCTGCAGTGGGGCGGGACACCAGGCCAGGGGACTAGTCTCAGGGCTTCCGGATTGTAAGATCTGGTTACCATTACTCTCTCGTCTAACCTCTGCTCTCCAGTCCCCTCCTAGAATGGCCTAGAAGGAGACCCTCCTGCCAGCCTCCTAAGACCCCCAGAAGGCTCTGAGGCAAGTGGCTGCATGAGTGTGGTCTAAGGCCTGTAGACCCGGCTTGGGATTTAGCAGTGTGCCCAGGGCTGCCCAGTGAGCCTCTAGACTCTTAATACACTCACCATGCTGCTCTTACTCGGTAGCTGCCCAGCAAGATCTGGTGGAGTCAGTAGCAGACCAGGTGACCTGCCTTCCCTCAGCTCAGTGCCTGTTCTGGGGAGTCCTCCCAGGGGGGTTCTGGCCTGCATCGGCCCTGGACCAGCCTGGTAGCATCTCTGGAACCATTTTGTTCTACACCCCAGTTGTGCGATTTGTGGGGCCAGGCCGTTCCTAATGCCTAACCCATAAATATGTTGCTGAGGCCTTCGGTGAAGGATTCAACTCCTGTCTGTCCTTTCCCAGGCGTCCCTGGACAGACAGTGGGGAAGGGCAGCAGAAGTCAGCCCAGCTTTCCCATTAGTGTCCCAAGTCTTTGAGATGGCCAAAGAGGTTCTCAGGGCTGATCTGGCATCTCCTTCCCGATCCCCACCCTTTTCTACTTCCTGTCTCCCTCCCCTTGGACCCTAGCTTTCTCTGCAAAATAATCATCACCTCTTTCTTACCTGGTCTCAGGCACTTAATCTCTGAAGAAGGGGAGGCCTAAATCCTTTATGACCCTTGTGAAAGCTATGGCCCCTCTTCCTAGAATGTATACAATCCAGGGAGTTCACAAATACCCTGAAATCTCATCAACACACCCCACTGTTATTTATTTTTTCCTCAAAGAAGTGGCTGCATACATAGACCTTCACTTCTTTGAGGAGAACTAAGACAAAAACAGCTGATCATTTTTCTTTTTCTTTTTTTTGAGATGGAGCTGCATTCTTCTTGCTCAGACTTGAATGCAATGACACAATCTTGGCGCACTGCAACCTTTGCCTCCCAGGTTCAAGCTATTCTCCTTCCTCAGCCTCCCAAGTAGCTGAGATTACAGGCATGTGCACCACACCCGGCTAATTTTGTATTTTCAGTAGAGACCAGGTTTCTATTATGTTGGTCCTGCTGGTCTCGAACTCCTGACCTTAGGTGATCCACCCATCTCAGCCTCCCAAAGTGCTGGGATTACAGGTGTGAGCCACCGCGCCCAGCCACTGATCATTGTTTAAACTTTAGTGGAACTATTTTCCTTTTTTGTCTTTTGGAAACGAAGCAGTAGCCCAGGCTGGAGTGCAGTGGTGCAATCTCAGTTCACTGCAGCCTCTGCCTCTTAGAGGCCTGGCTAATTTTTGTAGAGGCGAGGTTTCACCATGTTGGACTGGCTGGTCTCGAACTACTGACCTCAAGTGATCCTCCCACCTTGGCTGGGATTACAGGCGTCAGCCACCATGCCCGACACTACTTTACATTTTAACAGGAGTCAAAGCTCAACAGTGAAAGATTGAGTTCTGAGGTTTAACTTTGGACACTCACACTTTGATTGAAAGGGTGAGAAGATATCCTTGGTGAATTTGAGGTGGTGGCACTCACCCCACAACAATTCCCTAAAGGAGAATTCTGGCATCAACCCAAATTTTTCTCTCTTCAGACTCCACATCCCATCTGTTACTGAGTCCTATTTTTTTTTTAATCCTAAACATGTCTTGATCTCTTCCTGCAATTGCCTTGGTGCAGGCCTTTGACATTTCTATAACCAGCCCCTCTCCCCCAACATGTCACTTCCTTCCCTCTACCAATATAAACTCCAGTGAGGCAGAACTTTTCATTTGTTTCCTGCTGTATTCTCAAGAGCCCAGAACAAGACCTGTGACATAGTAGTTGTTTTAATGGAACATTTGGCAAGTTTCTTTCTTTGTTTTTGAGCTGGAGTCTCATTCTGTCACCCAGGCTGGAGTGCAGTGGTGCAATCTCGGCTCACTGCAACTTCCGCCTCCTGGGTTCAAGCAATTCTCATGCCTCAGCCTCCCAAGTAGCTGGGACTACAGGCGTGTGCCACCATGCATCTGGCTAATTTTTTGTATTTTTAGTAGAGACGAGGTTTTACTAAGTTAGCCAGGCTGGTCTCAAACTCCTGACCTCATGATCCAACCACCTTGGCCTCCCAAAGTGCTGGGATTACAGGGGTGAGCCACCGCACCCGGCCATATATGGCAAGTTTCTACATGGTGTTTCAGACTTAGCTGATCACCCTCTACCCTTGGGCCAGATGAGATTCCACTTCTCCCTGTTCTTACAGTGCTCTTAGTGCTGGGAAGGGGACCGTGTCTTGTTCATTTGGTTCTGCATGGGCTCCAACCCAGTGCTTGGCACAAGCATGGTCTCAGCAGTTCTGCATCAATAGCTTGACCTGGAGGTAGCAATTCCTTTAAGCCATTTGCTCATCTTCCAAGGTGGCTCATGGGCCGATGGATGGTGTCTAGAGCTTCCTATCTTCCAAGGAGGTTTAGGTCCAGCCAAGAGCCCACAGATCCTATTTCTCGCCTTCTCTCCTGCATTTACTTCTACCTTAACCAGCCTGGCTTTAGTGCTCCAGAAATGCGTCCTGCCCTTCCACACCAGGCTTCCTGGGGACTCCTGAATGACGCTTTCCTGGCCTCTGTCCAGACGGCCTCAGCCCTTCCGCACCCTCCTGCAGGAAACCTGGTGCCAGGCCAGGCCAGCTGGATCCTTGCTTACTCCTTACCCTAACATCCCCGCTCATGGAGAGGGATGGAGGTGACTGCATGTGAAAGGCCAGTTAGAAGACCGCATGTAGAAGCCGCACCAAATTTTACATACTGTATATGTAAATACATATTATTTATATTATATACCATATGTATAATATAAAATTATGAGCCGCCAAATCCAAAGAAATACAATGAAGGGCCAAACAAAACAAAGTGGCTCAGGTTCTAGGGTACATCCTAGGGTGGGGAAAGAGGCCTGGAGGGTGGGTGGGCCCTTCCAAGGGTGGGCAGTGGCCGGACCCAGTCCACCTGCAACAGTGGGGTGTGGCATCAGCTGGGCAAAGGACCCTTAGGCCTATGCAGCATTTCTGCTCCAGTTAGAGAACCAGCTTTTAGAGTGGTGATCTCATGGGAGTGGCAGCTCGACTCAGCAGGAAATGTGGGTGCTCTGAGAGCAGAATGGAAACTCTTTCGTGTTCTGATACAAAAACAATTCATGAATCTATTAAAGGATGCAGATTTAACCAAAAATGTATGCTGTTTCAGCTGAATAAAGGCACCGCTGGGATTCGAACCCAGGATCTCCTGTTTACTAGACAGGCGCTTTAACCAACTAAGCCACGGCGCCAGAGCTGCCCCAAAGGCTTCTGAAACTCATCTACAAGAATATAATGCTGTGAACCCAGCTTTTCCAGTACCTCCCAGAAATAATTTGGTATATCAACTGGGTCTTGCATCACTGTTTCATTCCTGAGACTTTTTTCAATGTTGCAAGAAATGAATCACAGATTTCAAGCCTAAATCATAGACTTCAAATCAAATCCTCAATTCTAGAATTCCTAGATGAGAGATTTGGAGGGTGCTGAATGGATCATCCCGTCCTGGAGAAGAGAAATATGGAAACTGAAGAAAAATGACACGTAGTCGGCAGGATTCGAACCTGCGCGGGGAGACCCCAATGGATTTCTAGTCCATCGCCTTAACCACTCGGCCACGACTACAAGGCCTCTGCTTATACTTTCATCTGATGCCTTTCTTCTCTTGACTGACAAACCTCTCCCTCCAACAATGCGCGCTCAGGGAGGAAAAGACGCGGGCACCACACAGGAACTTTCCTTTCACTCGGGGTGCTCAGACTCCTCCCTTTCAAGCCTTCGGAAGCGCCAGTGATTGAGGCAATAGGAAACAGTGGGTGCAATGTAATTGTTTCCAGAAAGCAAGTGGCTCCGGGCAGAAACTTTTAACAGCAGGAGGTTGGAAAACAAAATACCCGCCTTTTGGCCCGTACGGGGATCGAACCCGCGACCTTGGCGTTATTAGCACCACGCTCTAACCAACTGAGCTAACCGGCCAGCTGTGAAGAAACCTCTCTCGAATCTTAATACATGGTATTTCCACTATAAAAACAGTATAAATACCCACAAACATGTTTAACCATGATTCAAAAGCTTCCCAAATAAGAAGGAACCCCAACGGCCAGGAAGAAATGCCCTCCCAGTAGCTCTGAAAGATGTGCCTCAGCTCATCTTTCCACCTCTCCTCCTGTCGAACAGCTCCCACTAAAGAAATGTGGGAACACCAGCCAAATGCATCGGTATCTCCAAACAATTGCTCCTAGATCCCCTAACTCTGTGATTTGAGACTTGAGTATCTTCAGGTCTCATGTTATGTTGATCAAGGATCCGCCTTAGGCCTAGCTCCTGGGAAACTTACAGGGCTAACCCTTGCCTGGGGCCCTACAGCACAGGCACCAGGC